AACAATCATTTTTTAGATATATCTAAAAAAATTATATGGTGTTATAAAACAGAGAATTTTGGTATTTTTTTTTAAATTTTTAGTAGCATTGATTTAATACATACCGTAAAACGAGTCGTGCTGTGCCGTTTGAATTTCCGAGCGTATGTAATACAAATTGTGGAAGACCACGGATTTGTTTATACTCATATATTTATTTCCGTGATATTTTTTTATTTATTTATACGATATCACATAATACATGAATCTCGCAATTTTTTTCTTTAAATCGATCGATCGTCTCGCCGCATCTGTTAAATTACAGTTGCGCAAAGCTATGACAGCGATCAGAAGGGAGAATAAATCCGGAAAATTCCGTAAGGACGAGACGTCGAATTTTTCTTAAGACGTGGCGTCGCTCAACACAATATCGCGACATTGCTCCATTGTACAAAGTAACATGTGCATTTTGCATGCGCGGCGATGACGACGTGGTGCAAATGTTTGCCGTACAATTGATACACGCGGGATAAAAAGAAACATATAGATCAATGGCAGCAAAGAGTTACGATCTTATTTTAGATGCATTTTAGATCGCTGGAATGAATAAAAGAAAGATGGAGAACAATGAAGGGGAAGGAGAAAAGGAGGAAAAACGCCGATTTATATGAACGTGCACTTGAATATCGGTTCATATAGAAGATATAATGACATACTTAATGTGTTGTGCATACAGATATCGATATGTACACAGGAAGTCTGCGTCACTCGTTATGTCTGTCGTTGTGCTTGTCAGATGCTTGTTCCTGATCGAACGCGTGCCGATTGTCCAACTTCTACTTTCTTTCCCGGCTTGAGAATTATTTCACGATAATTCTCAATTTCTCAATGTGCAAATCTTCGATAACGACGTAGGATGAATGCGTGGCGCAATACACATACAAACACACATATAACACACACACACACACGCGCGCGCGCGCGCACACACACGCACACGCGCACGCGCACGCACACGCACGCACACGCACACACATACGCACACACACACACACACACACACAGAACATGGAAAGGACAGTTTTATTAAAGTATATAAAAATTTAGATACAATTCTAAAAATAATTTTGTTGACTCAAAATAATTATATAAAACGCTCAAACTGGCTAAAATTTTTTCAGTATTGTTTGAGAGTTCTATACAGTAAAAATATGTTTGTGTTGGAAACGGTCCAATCACTCGAGTTAAACTTTGCGTTGAATTTTTTTTATCATGCTTGAATATTAATTTAACACAATATGATTATGTTACTTAAATAGTTTGCGTTAAATTGATATTCAATATTTCTTAGTGTCAAAATAATACATTTAATTTTAAAACGTAAATTTTAAGATGAATAAATATGTGTTAGTTTAATATATTACAAATATTAATTTTACTGAAAAAAATATTTTACTGAAAAAAATTCTACGGTTAAATTGTATTATTTTTTTTTGTATTTATATTCTTAAATAATATTTGTGTTACCTGCTAATATATTCATCTTGTGTTAAATGAATAAATAAAATTAAGTGGACCGTTTGGAATATGTGAAATGTTAAATAATTTTCCAATGATATATATACGTAATAATTTTGATGATTTAACAAAATTATTTTGATATCTAATTAAACTTTTAAATACTTTATCAAAATTATTCTTTCCACGCAGACATTGCGGACGATCAAGATGAATTATAAGAATCCGATCGTTCGCACGAAACTGGGATAGGTTTCGGGCTGAGAGACTAGAAGCTACACGACGTATAATTCGCTTGCGCGAATAACATATATAGAAACAAATAAATAACATTGCAAAACGACTCTGTGCGTCTGGAAGAACAGAGAGCGGATAATTTTCTCTCATCGCGAAAACGGTGCATTTTACTACGAGGATGACGAAAGAAGGCACACCGATTGCATACATATTGTTCGAAATTATTGGAGGTTATCTCCAGGTATAGTAAACGACCGATCATCCTCCGGTGATTTGCGCGGAGCACATGTAACGTATATACTAATAGCAAATTCGATCATTTACATTACACTAGATTAATGCACACTAAAAGCTGCTGTACATAATTTTGAACAATTAAATATTCAATAATGATATTACGTTATTTAATAGAATATACACATATTATCTCATTATCAAAGTTGATTGTATTAAATGCCAATGCATTTAGGTACTTTATATAAAGCAACCTTTTTTTAAATGTGCACTAACTAGTGAATGACCGAATTCATCATAACTATGTCGGATAATTTATTGCGTTTACCGGACGCAAGAAGTTTATCGGTTGTTTATGAAGGATAAATCGCATGTGAAGCTTTTCGCGTAGCCCAAAAGTACAAATCGAAGCGTTGCGACGATTATCGCGAGAAAGCGCGTTCCTACAAGACCCGCGTAAAGAAGTCGATTTTTCTTTTTCTTCTTTTTTTTTCGTTTCTTACAGATGAAGCGCCGCGTTCTGGGTCTATCGCGCTGGAATCTAATTCCGCGTAGACGCGTATCGCAAAGCTCCACCTGGTACTTCGTTTTCGTCGACCTCGTCGCAATTACAGTGCAAAGGCAAATCGCACATTATCTACCTTGCTTTTCTTTTTCTTTGTTTTTCCTTTCCTTCCAACGGTAGATGACAAAAAAAAGCGAGGAAAGCAATCCTCTGCTTGATTTATCCCTCTGCTGACTTTGTGTAAATTCTTACGAGATCACGCGATTTAACAAGGGAGCAGATCAAGCAGTAAATTATTTACTCACCTCACTCAAGAAACTATCCGAGTATTACAGTCCTGTTGACCTGGCATAAAGTCGCCATTGTAGCGAGATTATACGTAGACAAGCTAAGCATCGATTTTTTTCTTTTCGACGATGGAATAACGAGACAAGTTAAGCAAACGGCATGTTACTCGCCCGTCTTACTTGTCGCTTGTTATCTGACTATTACTCACCTACCGATTTCGTACATTCGCGGTGAGACGGAGAGTCTAGGAGTTTCCAGCTTCATCCCGAGTGTTCTAACTTACAGAAACTGCTGACGCAACATTAGTCTGGTAAAATAGAGAAACTGATTTACGTTGGCACACTAAGCGTTTAAGTGGCGACTCATCGTTATGACAGTAAGAAAGTCGCGAGGAAGTGTCGAGCGCAACTCTCGGAGCACTGCCGTCATCAGAATGAGAATATCCTCGCTTTCGAGGATCGGGGGTTGAAGGTGACGCGCTGCGTACCAGCTCGGACGTGTCGCTACAATCATCTGGACTCACTCTGCGAATGGCTCGCCTCCAATGACGGATCCGGATCCGAGTCGTCGATGGAGGTCCCGTGCTGAGTCGTGCGAATCGAATAACTCGGGCTTCGTTCGTTCCTACGAGAACACACGCAGAATCGTTCTCGTGAGACATGCCGGTGGTGCGAATATCATTCTGTGGATTTCTTACAAAACAGCAATACCCTCTCTCGAGCTAATTAGAGTTTAAAGTTTAAAAAATATATTCAGAAAGCACAGTCTTTAATTCGATTTAACTAAAATTGGTTATTTTAGAACGGAGCCACCGAATTTATCGCGCATTATATAATCCAGGGAAAATATTTTCATGAAAACATTTGGTCATATAGAATATATATCACCGTTTACGGTACATAAAACGTGATGAAGTTTAAGAATTTTCTTTTATGTAGATTATATTTCTAAAACTTTCTTTACATTTAAATTCAATAGATATGGATGATAATCGGATAGATACGCCATAATACTGACATAATAAGATTTTCTAAATTTAAATCTTAAAGAAATTTAAAACATAGACGAAATGATTAATTCTTTTAAACTTCCTCTCTTTTAGGAGGCAAAATTCGCGTAAAAATAGATCATAAAATGCAATGCCGCTTCACGCATTTTGTCATAATCGCAATTCCAATTTAAATGTGTCCTTTATATGTGCTTGCGAAAATAAATAGCAGAATGCATCCATTTTGTAATACAAATTGTAACACTGACCTCATTGCCAATTGACTGCCGTCACTGCCACGTCGCAAGGTGTTGGCGCGTTGTATGCAGGAGCATTTGCAGCAGATGATTCTCTTGAAAGCGAAGCGGAAGTCCCTGCTGAAGAGAGCATAGATACACGGATTTATCGCGGAATTGCAATATCCTAGCCAAAACAGTACGCTGAAGACGGTTGGATGGATGTGATTCGGACAGAACGCGCGCACCAGATACATGGTGAAGAAAGGCAGCCAGCACAAGATGAAGCCGCCGACGATGATACCCAAAGTCTTCGCCGCTTTCGTTTCCATGCGAAATCTCTTCACCTGCGTATAATTTTGTCTCAAATATCGAGGCAACCGACGTATTTTAAATATCCTTTACTCTGTTAAAACATGAATGCGTATTTTCATAAAATATATTATAAATAAAATATATATAATAATAATATCATAATAAAATTAACTTGAAATTAATGTTTATTTTTAACAAAGTGACCTTAAATTTAATCAAATTATAATGTCAAATTATACCCAATTTATCAAATTTATCAAATTATAGCCAATTGAATCATTTTTAATAATTATTATAATATAAGCCGCCAGTACTCCCACTTAGTATGTTCTTAATTTAACTAAAATTAAAATTATAATTTAAACAACTTAATTTAAGAAATGTATTAAATTTGATTCAAATTTAGTTTATTATTTACTGATACATGCCTTAATACGAATGCCATTTCCTTTGAAACTAAGCGATTCAATCATAGAAATGGATTATTAGATATGATTGTTTCTTTAATCGTATATTTTGTATTAAAATCATATATATTTACTTTGGAAGTTCGAAATAATAAAATGCTATTTAACTTAAGAAATTAGTTTAAATTTGATCTTTTAATATTTAACAGTGAGAAAAAATATTAACTTTGCACTCTGCTTTCAACAAACAGTATGTTATCTCTTTTATAATATGCATTCATATTTTGATCATTAAGTCTACGCAATATAAATTAATTCTGACAGTAATCGACTAGTTATCACTATGACGACTGAGATAAAAATGAATTTCCATCATATGAAGTCTTACGAAACTATCGGATTATTATAATATTGCTTATTCGTTTTTATGGAACATTTGAAAAATAGGTCCGATAGTCAAAGTGTGAAAGCGATAAAAACGAGCCGACATGAGAAACGCACTTGGGCTTTTATGTTTCTCTTGCCCAGCTTCATCACTCGCGGCTTCTCCTCGTTGCTCGGCGTCATCTCGCGCAGCGACAACTCGTCGCCGGTCACCTGACTCTCGCAGCTGCTTCGCCTGCTTGTTCTTTTGCTGCTGCCGACCCTATTGACACCACCAACCTGAAAGGGGATTTAACAAGTCGGCCTTTACGACTCCGACACACGCATACACTCATGTAATACATACATCACGTGCACCTATTAAATACAGATTCACTTTCGCGTGAGATTTACAGACGCCGTAAAACTTTCATGACGAAGACGAGCAACATCCAGACTCTTGTCAAAAGCTCGCTATAGCAATACGCGATCATATTGAGCTGAAAATTTGATATCCCGCATTTTTTTACGCATGAAACATGAAACAGATAACTACTGTACAATGCGATTTATACACAGAAACAGGGACTTTGCTGAAGCATTTAAAAATTTAACCAAATATATATAGATCTGGAAATAATTTTTTATACGACTATCAAAATGAATGTATAGAATATATAATATATAATAGACAATACTCTAAAAAGTTTTGATCTTTTGATTGTTAAATGTCAAAGCAACAATAATAATGCCAAGGATTAAATAGTATTTTGTTATTTTATTAACTTTTATTTAATTTATGTCAACAATGTAAATCAATCTATTTTTTCGATTAGTTTCAAAATAAACAACGTCCTTAACATATGCATTTATAGTAAATAATAAACTAAATTTGAGTTAAATTTAATATCTACAATTCCTTGAATTAAATTATTTAATTCCACAATTTCAGTTAAATTAACGATATATTGAGAAGGAGTGGCGACCTTTAGAAATAATTAACAACAATTCAAATTGGATATAATTTGAGATTATGAATTTAACAGTGTAGCAACCAGCTTGTGCGTCCTACATAATTATTTTGATGGTTTAATGAAATTATTTTCAGATTTGTATATAGCTAAATTTATAAATCTTTTAACACAACCATTCTTTTCGTGTTATCTGCCAGAAATTGAAATTTAATTATTCGTACAATTAGATGCAAGCACAGAAATATTCTAATCATTATTTTATCCTGATTGTTTGCAGATCTTTATTTTCGACAATACATTAGAATTCTAAAGGAGAATTTATTGTAGTTCATATTTAAATAAAAATAGCATGATATCTCTGATAAGTTATCCACGTCTGTCAAAATAGAAGTGAATATATCTTTATTTCTTTCTGGAATATATATAATATATATTCATATATTCATACACACACACACAGACACACTCACACACACACACACACACACACACACACACACACACACATTTATCGATACCAACGATTACGCATGACATGAAAGCCATCAACAAAACAGGTACGTGTCTATATCCTGTTTCGTTTTATCCGTCTGTAAATCCACACGATACCGACACACATGCGGGAGAATAATCACGATCGACGATTTAAACGGCAAATAAAAGCTTGGAGATCCTCGTGAAACAAAACAGTGAGGGAAAAGAGGGAAAAAGAGTGAATTTATACGGCTCGATAGCCATGTTCGATCGAACGAGTGAATCTCAGTTTTATTGAACGAAAAAATGATCCTTGATTCGTTTCATTTTGCAAAATCCATCGATTAATCACCAATAAAAAGCATATGCATTTAAAATTGCAACGACAACATGTCACCAGAAATGTAGTGCTGGAACGTGAAATTTACGCATGTCCAACATCACAGAACCTACAGAGAGCCGTAGATTCTACCTTTCAATCAAACTTCGTATTATATTATACTTATACAGTAATAAAAGATATATAAATCTTTAACATAGTTTCGTTTCGAAATAATTTCTATGATATAAAAATAATAAAATTATACGTTAAGAATGTAATCTTGAAGGAGTAAAACACCATTTCTTAAAAAAGAACAAGGTCGGAAAATTAAAAAGGGATTCGTGCAGCTGAAGCAGTTAATTACATCCTTAGGTCATGTAAATATAACTCATTACATTAAGATTTAATTCACCTTAAGATGCGTGTTTCGCGAGGCTGGACAAAGCTGCGTCTGCGTCTGTCCGTTGCTATAATGGACCGAGATTTGCGAACATCTCGACGGTGTTCTTTCGAGGGTGTTGCACTTCGTGTTGAGTGTCTCAGTGCTGGGATAGGAGACTGAGATCTTGATCTTTTCTCGCTTCACTGAGCTGCGGCTGCTCGAGTCCGGACTTCTTGAATTGCCGTTGTTACTGCCGTTGTGGACGCTACCTCGGCCACGGTGAATTCGTAAGGTCAGTCTTTGTTCGTCGAACCTGTATAAAAATAGGAAAATGCGTTGTGTTCTTATATAGGCATTTATGCCTGTTGGCATAAATGCCTATATAAAGGCAGCATAAAAAGACTTCCTTTCTTTCGCGGAGAAGAAGCTCAACCACAGACCCGCGAATGAAACGACGACTCGAGAGAACAAAAAGTGGAAAAACATATTTAAATGTAGGAAATTTTATTTGCAGTGCCATTTTATTAAAAGGAAATGATAATAAAAGATGATGATTTGATTTATATATAATATTAAAAAATTATATTGATAAACTAATTAGCTGATAAGATATACAGTAAAACTGTTTTGTATTTGTTAAAACTGATCCTTATAAAAATTTTTAACATATTAGTATTAAATTAATGTTTAAGTTATCTTAAAATAATACGATTTACAAATAAGTGAACAAATAATAAAAGATTATATAGTAAAGCATAAATTTTAAGATAAATAAGTAAAAGATGAATGTACATATTAATTTATTGAAAAAGTAACATATATAAATATAATTTTATTGAAGAAAAATATATTTCTATAATTTATTTCTAAATTGTATCTAAGTGTTACACTTTTTTAATGTTAATTTTTACATAATGTTTGTGTTCTAACATATTCATCTTGTGTTTAAACTGCATAACACAAAAACTATTTGGATGGATCGTTTGAGACATGTAAAAAATGTTAAACTTAATATAAACTTTCTAAAATTATATGAATGCTCGATTAAAAATTAATTGATGCAAGATGATCAATATATTTACAATTTATAGTATATCGATCGCACAAAAGCAACATAAATAAATATGTGATAAAAATGAGTTGTAAATTTGTAAAAAATAAATTTAAGCAAGTAAACGGAAGTTTTGAAAAAAAAAAAAAAACTGACGCGGAAGTTTACCTGCTGCCAAGCATTTTCGAGGCTTTTGTTGTCCGAAAACCTTGATTAATAGCTCTCGTCGTGGAAACTGCGGCGTTGTAGATCCGCCAATAAAAAAATAGCATCACCAGCATTGGTATATAGAAGGAGCCTAGAGCACTGCAACATAGTTGCGATTGTGATTTCCTGTCACACTGCTGATAATCGTAGTTTCCTACTTCGCGATAACATATCGGATACTTTTACGTGTAGTCAGCTTGTGCAGTTTTTTACACATACATAGAGAGACTATATTATCAAGAATATTAATTTAGCTATTGGTTTTAATAATGGACAAGATCCAATCGAGAAACACGTGTCACTGGCAAGCAAAACGTATTAGTCGTTTATTAGCTTTTTGATCGGTATAGTGCGTATATAGATAACATCTTGATTGACATACTTAATTGATAATATGATGACAGAGGTAAAACTGTTTTATCTTTATTTTTTTACTTTTCTATTTATTAATTTGCTTAGCAATCTCAAGCTAGAAAATTTTATATATTTTAATTTAAAACTGTTATTATTGGTAGTCTTATAGTCAATAAAATTTCAGATTTAAAAATTAACAAAGTCTCCTAAGGGCTCGAACAAATAAATAAATAAAAGTCTTTACAAGGGCAATGAGTCTAGCACGTTGTTAGTGCGACAATCTAATTTATTTATCCAAATCAAATTTCGATTCTCACAGAACGATTTTGAAACGTATGGAATATATTTATAATTTGATTTGAATAAATAAATTAGTTAATGTTATATAATATTGTTGTTATAATATAATTCTACGATTTCTCAATACGAGTGGTTTATCCATTTTTAAAAGAGATAAAATGTCAGGAGTGATTCATACAAAAAGAGAATGTTTCTATCTTGTGAAAATGTCAATAAGTCTGCTTAGGATCTTTAATTGGCGAAATGGTTGTCTTTAAAATTATTTCAATATTACGTAAATTTTCAGATTTTAATACATGTTACATATTAATACATGTACCTATTA